TTAGTAGACGTACTTTGAAACTGGCGTAACCTTGCCCATAGTTAACGTTTCGTTATGTTGTAGCCCTTTTCAACAAATATTGTTGTCTGTGACTTAATCTCTAGAGATAAGGTTTATTTTATGAAAAACTAGCTTTGGTTGTTTGATGGGAGACGGCTGTTGAAGAAAGATCACCAATTTTGGGTGAGCTAAATAAATATTTCTAATTGTTATAACAGGTCGGCTGTGGTGCAGAGGGCAGAGTGGGTCGTCCTATTGTTGGTGTGTGATCGGAAGGTGATGGTGTTGGTTCTGAATTGCCCGCTCCTCCTGCTACGTGTCAAAGTATCCTGTGAGCAAGTGTGATTTACGAACTGCCAAAACTGCTCCCTGGTGAGTGTTGCTTGTACCAACAGTGTGATGGAAGGTTTGTTGTTGGTGGTTGGTGGTGTAGTGCTTGTTTTTTCCACTGACAGATTGTTATTGTTATAGTCAGAAAAATGGGAAAGTGTATGGATTTGAGTAAATTTGCCAAATTGGGATGACTAGACGACTAGCTCCAAAACTGCAGTTCTTGTGGGGTGTTCCCGGGTCTAGAGTGGTCAGTACCTATCAAAAGTGGTCTGCTTGGAGGACGCGTTCACAACAAAGTGGGTGCACATGGATGTCCATACAGAGCCTACGCATATAACCTGTGAAAATGAAAAGTAGTAGTATACGATAATTCCTGTTTAAGTCTCCAGGAAATTAATGTAAATCTGTTTGTCCTTTCTAGGTCTTTTTGAGAATGAAAGTGTTTTAAAAAGCAAAATATTAGTGCTCAAAGCCTCAACCAAAAGAGTCCTCTAGAGGGCAAATGTGAGTGCAGCACATCTTTTACGAGGATACTCACTCCCATTCTATTCTTGGTTCTTCTGTTTCAGGACTCTTCAGAGTCAGAATCCATCAGAATGTTATAAAGTTGTTGACAGTTCAGTGTCAGACACTCTGGTTATAAAACAACATTTTGAACAACACCAGCACAGACAAGATCCAGCAGAGCCTCCCACTGACCGCATCACCCAGTACCTGATGTCTCTAGGTCAGCCGGAGCCCGCAGAGAGAGAAGTAAACACACTAGAGCAAAAGAAACTGACCTTAGTCAAGCTGAGAGACACATTATCACGTCCCGATGTAAAACCTAAAGAGACTTCAGCCTGTCACCAAAACCCTCACATCGACCAATCACATCATTCTGGCAAAGTCTGGTTATGTGGTCGACTGTTGAACTCCACGTTGTCCCAGTGTGACGTGGAATCTGTGTGGTCCAATTGGAGCGCGAGGTCAGGGTCAACCTTTGACACCAGAGACGAGGCAGCGTTCAGAGATGGCCTGTCAGCTCTGGATGCGAGCATTGCCAGTCTGCAGAAGACTATTCAGCTGGATCTGGGGAGGTGATACACACTCAGCTTCACTTCGCTTCAGCTTTTATATGAGCTACTCTCTGTTATTATGTTTTCTTGAAATATGTTGTAATGCATAATCTCCTTTTTGTATTTAGCATTTTTCCCTTTTTGAAGGTTTTAATAAGTGATTTTTCAGATTGGAAATAAAGCATTTTAAAACATTTCTTTGTGGTTGTGATGAAGACACAGGATAAGCAGAGTTTTTGCAGCGGTCCGGTTTGTTTTCACTGCTCTATTTTTTATGTTTTTTTTAATTTTCAAGTGATGCAGCACTACACTAAGAACATTCAACCACAATAAAAAAAAAATCCAAATTCCACTCTTAGTATTAAAAAATGGATCTCAAGGGATCTCAAACTGCCAGTCATTTCCGGCCGGCCATTCCCCCTCCCTTCCTCGATGATGTCAAAAATAAGCCCGCAAGAAAAATTTTCCCCTAGTTGTTTCATATAACTTTATATTTTCAGAAATCTTGCATTTTCTTTTAGTACTTGAGCTGTGACCCTCCTATGAGATTACAATACCAGCAGTAGTAACAGTCCAGCAATAAATAACAGTCCTGCAATAAATAACTCTTCATGAAGGTTCTAATGTTCAGTTTTTGTTGAAGAGGTATTGTTTTTATTTTAGACATATAGACCTTTTTTACAGCAGCAGTTTTGACATGAAATAGTATTGGTGTTACCAATGATTCTAATTAAGATTCTGTTCCATTCAGGTCAGAGTCCCGTGTTCTGCTATTGTGCATGTTGGCTCCCTGGATAGGCTCTGCTACTTAAGGGCTTATGATTCAGGCAATATATTGTGATTTTTTTTATTTAATTTTTTTTTTAGGAAAATTAAAGTGTTACACATGTATAGTGTTAATTAGTTAGTTTGGGATCGTTAAGCGGGCCACTCCAGTTGTTTAGATGGGGGACCCCTGATATAGGCAGTATATATACTGTATATTATATATTTTTAGATCCTGGGATGGCAATCAAGAACCAGTTGATTTGCCATGCATTTTCCAATCCATCGGAATCATGTGCCTCCTGAACTTATCAATTCCTTTATCAGTGCCGGGATGTTTATCTGACAGTCTGACTTCAAACAACTTCCTGTTGGGTTTGAGATATGGCTCCCACTGGATTTTTTTGTACGTCAGGATAAGATCTACGTATGTGCCAATTTTTATGCATATAGGTGAAAGGGGCCCCGGGTGGTACAGTTTATGGGCCCCTGGGGGGCCATTTTGTAATGTTCATAGTGGACCCCTAGAAAATACAAAATGACTGACATGTGAGCCGTGTTTCATGAGTTTTCGAGCATGGGAAAGCCTCCAAAAATGTGATTCATTTGGCACTAAAATAATAATAGAAATAATAACCCAATAGTATTAGGAATCTGACCAATAAGCAGATTTAACAATAATATTTGTATGAATAAAATTCCATTAGTTCCTATCCCTATATATGCCTCTTTTTAAAATCTCTAGTAGTTCATAAAAGACAACCACTGACATTAATCTTTTCATGTAAACTATTAATTAAAATCAAAATCAAGTGTTTTTGAGAATCAATACAATAAAAATACCTCAAAGACTCATCAATTTATACCATTTTTATTAAAGTACAAAACATGTTTTAATAGGAAAAGAGGCAAAAACCAGAACAAGTATAAAAACAGCTGTCAGAAGCAGCAGTGTCTGCTTGGTGTAAGTCACTTCTTGGCATACAGTGCACATTCCCACACAGCTGACATAGTGTTTACAAAAAGAGGCAGCACGTCTTCAGCACACTGTATGTTACAATCATCCTACAGTGTGATATATCAGATTACAGTACAGCTCTAAATAAAGACACTAATCTACTCTAAAACATATAACAAATGAACATGAATGAAATGAACAAAAACACAAACCCAGAACAGATTCCCTTTGGTAGATCAAAGCTCACAAGGCATTTTTTGGGTGTCGGTACAGTTGTTCCTCCCTGCTGAAGGACGGCAGATCAGGCCACATTCAGAGAGGACAGCCTCCCCCAAAACACACCTCAAGTACTGTCCACACACACACAAAACATAATAGCATAACACATAATGCAACCTGACAGCCCTTATTAGTGCAAACCAGCCAGCAGCAGATTAACAGAAAAATCAAATCAATGTTGTAAATACAGAAATAATGTGTGGGTGTTTCTTTACGCTCAACTTCAGTATGGAGATTTGAAGTTGACCCAGGAAGTTGAGAAAAGAACAACAGGCTCATAGAAACTGTCAAGCCACAAAGTGAATGTCATATGTAAGCTGGAAACAAAGGGAAAACACTCTTTTATAACACTTTTTTATGACCAATTAGATTGAGATGCAGTGCAGGTGAAGAATTCAACTACCCCAGAGCCAATGAGTCACAAATCTAATCTTCATTGATATAAATCCAAAATCCTGGAAACAAAAGTTTGCTGTTACTCAGAACTTCAGAACAGAAAAACAGTTTTTGAGTCTGAAATATGTCCATGCTGAAAAAGGAACACAATTAAGTATACTCACTAAAACAAAACACTAGGTTTTTGAGTGTGACATGAAACAAATAAAAAAAATATTTCTCCACATGAACAGACTCTCTCCCATTGTTTCGGGGAGCTGTTCAGTGGGGGGGTAAATGATAGAGATAGATAGCCTAACGGAGAGAGGGGATGATTAAAAAAAGGAAAGGAAAATAACAAAACAATAGACACAAAAGATTAAAAAAAAAAAAAAAGCTGGAGTAGATTTTTTTCCCTTTCCATTTCCTCCCCTCCATATACTCTCTTTTTGCTCCCTCCTTTGTCAATGACTCTGCTCTTGTTTTTATTTTTCTCTGCTTATACACCACTCTCCTTTGCTCCTCAACATTTACATAACACCTACAGAATCCTACCTGCCCTGTGCCCACAGCATTTATCCTAACCCTTGCATTTATTTTAACTCTACCCAATGAAAGTAGAAATATATCATCAAACTAGATTAAATATGTCCTGGATATCTGTAGTAATGACTCAGGGATTGGCAGCAAATGATTATTTTTTCAAATGTCAGAATGTTGTGTAATGCAAGTTAAGAGAAAGCATAGCAGAGTAATCCTTCCCTAATAGGCTAACCCTCTGTCTTTATGAGCCGTGGTACAGGTGGATGGTGCTGGCCACAGCCTGCTTGTATCTGTGCTCAGCCTGGATGCTGTTGCTGTAGTCCAGGCGGCTACTGTCGCTCAGTTCCTCTGCCGTGTCTCCAAAGCCATGGTAGTGTCCGTAATGCAGGAAGTCCCCGCAGTCTGCTCCCATCAGCCCCAACCAGGTCGGCCGGTGGGACACGTAACTGCTGGGGCTGCCCGTCAGATGTAGTGAACCACACATGTCAGGTAACGAGTGCTGAGCAGCCGCTGCTGCTTGCTGATCGACTGGAGGGGGGGACGTTGAGGAGAGGCTTTTGGGTGGCTCAAGGTCGTCCTGGTCAGCATAAGGTGTGTGATGGTGGCCGTTGGTGATGGCTTTGGTGTCATCTGCTTTTTAAAAACAAACTTTGAAAGTTAACCTCTTCATACGCAGCTCTTTTAAGGACTACTCTGTGATCTCTGTTTTACAAGCAAAAAACTCTCAGTCACACCTGAGCTGAGCTCCTGTGCAGACTCCATGTTCATGCTCTCCAGCTCCTCACCTCCACTGCTTTGCATCTGCACCACATCTGCAGCAGAAGAAGAAAACTTCATGGATATAACATACTAAATTCATAGTCCATACCTATTTTTTAGTTTAACTAGTCAGGTGGTTAGAGCTGATTACATTAGGTTTTTATCAAATAAATACCAAGTAAATGCTATTTAAATATTTTTAAAAACCGTTGCCTCGGCTCTGAGAAATTGTTATTGGCATATTTAGTTGTTTTCTGAGATTGTGTATGACTTTAATATTTAAATGTTTTGGCAGAAATCTAGCACAATATTCATAGATGTGTTTTCATTAGTGTATAATCGCCTTAAAATAAGAACAGTTGTGTTTTTGTTACCTTAGTATGAGCGTTTTTTATTTACAGAGGGAGCGGGTCCTCTTCTACAGAGTCCGCCATGTTAAAACAGCCATGTTTCTACAGTATCCCAGAATGGAGAAACCAAACACTGGCTCTAGATAGGGCCTTTTGTGTTTCATGCGAATTTCACTGCCATTCACCATAGTTTCTCCTACACACTTGGAAGTTGAGCTGTATCCAATTTAGGGATATCCTGATCAAGTTTTTTTCCCCCTGATTTTTTTCACACCAGACCTGATTTACTTTCTGACTACAAAAGATACAATATCTTTGGAAATGTGAAATGCCACTGCATCTGTAACATCTTATCACTGTGGCCCCTTCTTCTCATATGGGATACTATTTGAAAATGATTCTACACCTTTTGTGTAGATGAGTGACTGCAGTGATTGTTTGACTTGGGGCTTGTTTTACATTTACATTACAACATTTCAATCCTCTAAATCCTACAAACTGGTCCTTTAATGGCTGTATTTCAGAACAGACAGGGGTTCCATACTGTATGACCAGATAAAAATGTAATTTGTAATTAATGTTCATTAATGTAATTAATGCTTATGAAAATGTTATAAAATGTATAACGTAGGCATCCCCTTTACCTAGTTGTGAGGTTAAACTGGTGTTTGGTAGAAAGTGTGCTGACATACAACTGAACATCCTCAGTTATAGTTAAACTATTTGGCTCTTTCAGAACCAACTGCAGGATTTATAAACCTACAGTTATAAGCGCATCTGGCATAAAAGGACATTTACAAAAGGTCTCTGGTTAAGAGAAAAATTACATTGTTTTCTTTTTGTTTTTGCATTGATACTGTTGAGAGCACTTCATGGTTTATGTCATGTGTGCTGTTTTACATTTTCTTGTTGTTTCTACCGTCTCTGCGTGTCTTGAATGACACATTTCAACTAATAAAATATATATATTTTTATATTGAAGAGCTGGGACAAATGTCTTACTATCAGCTCTCCTGGCTTTCTTCATGTGACCAGTGTCCATGGCAGTCTGCAGCCTCTTTCTGCTGAGCAGCTCCTGACCACACGGGGCACTGTTTCTATTCTGCACTCCGTTCACATGGAGTCCGCTGAGCTGCAGCAGGTGCTTCTGGGTTTTAGAGATGAGGCAGAAACAGTCATGGAAGCCGTGAGCGAGGGCCAGGTCTGCTGCTGTCTGCCCACTGGCATTCCTTAAACTGAACAAGAAGAGGACACAGTAAGATAAACTGCTTGCTGTCTCATCTCTAACATCTCCCCTGCAACACATTCAGTTTGCTAAATGAATAAAATTTTACAAGTGAGCTGGTAAAATTAAGAAGACCAAAAAACAGATTCAAAGCTAACCACAGATCTATCCTTTGTAGTACAAAACATGAACACTATAGATTTTAGATGAATCTGCAGTTTAAAGAACAGTCCTGTTAGGTAATCCTATCTCTACCTCAAATACATAAAATTAAATGTCTTCTACCCAGGCCCTGAAAAAATCTAATTTAGAAATGATTAATCTCCCTCCATACCAGACAAACTGAGAAGGAGTAACAAAGTTTTATTCTAATGCAGGCTGACACAAGTTTCCAATTTTTAATGGCACATTTGGCATCTGAGCTTGACTGACCAAGGGAGAATACCGATATCAATATTTTAAAGTTAAAACAATGTGATATCAATGTATCAGCCAATCAGCCAAATTTTTCTGTAGGTAATATCCATCAACATATATAAAGATGGACGACATGACAGCTCTCTAAAAGTGAAGTCAAAACATCTTGATTGCCCCCTGATGACTATTTGCAGTATGGGCCATGAAGCCTACTGCATCCAGATGGGGCATCAACTACACATCAAATAAATGTAAATCGATATAAACTGATATACTGGTCAGCCTCTAATTCTAATTTTATCAGCTGGCATACATGCTGCTATGATACATCTGTGACAAGCTAATGTTGGCCAGACAAGACTGTTACACTACACTGTTCAAAACTTTTTTATTACCCCCACTGAATTTGTTTCACTGTAGAAAATAAATAAAAGGAAGAACAGAATCATCTTCATCATCTTCTACTAAGTATGGAAATTTGACTTGTCTGGTGTTAAAAGAAAGAATCTCAATTTAAAGTCAGATTACCAGCTTTTCTGAGCTTTCAACCACATGTGGTGGTCTTTAACAGTGAATAGTTAGTTCAGTTGTTAAGGCAATGGCTCAGATGTCATCACACGATATACGCTCCACAATACACACTAAGAGACAAGACCTATCCTCCTTTCTTGCAACATTACAGTGGCCACAAGTTAAGTATTGAAATAATTTTAAATGTTTACTAATTACTTTTTAGTCCTGCATGGCCTTGCTCCTACCTGCATTATAGATTAAGTTCTGCCTTATGGGTCTAGCTGATGCCTGTGCTCCTCAGGCAGGACTCTTTTAATTATTCCCACAGCCAGCCTCCAGTAGGAGGCAGTAGTTCAGCCGGTAGGGACTTATTTTGGGAACTATTTTGGGGGGTGGCCGGTTCAAGGCCAGGATGGCCCACAGTATGTAGTGTGGACTGGTTGCTGGAGAGGTGCCAGTTCACCTCCTGGGCACTGTGGACTGTTGAAAACTCTCTCTCTCTCTCTCTCTATATATATATATATATATAATGTTGTTTTTATGACTGTTCTGTAATGCCCTTTAAAATCGATCATTTGTAGCATCTTATCACTTATCTTACCCTTCTTCTTATATGGGATATTATGGGAACATGATTCTACATGTTTTGGGCAGGTAAGTGACTTGAGTGAATTAAGACTTGTTTTATTTTCAGGACATTTGATCCTTTGAATCAATTTCCATGACTGGAAAACTAGTCCCTAAATTTGCAGGTTTTCCAGGAATGCATGGGAACCATGAGCTGTATATCTCAGCATTATAGTTTAAACCTCGATTTTAAGATTAAGTTTATTTTGCATAATTTTAAAATGCAAATTCAAATTAATCCATTTAAGCTCTACTGTCAATACAAAATAACACGTGAGCCAGCTCCACTCGCTGATGAAGACTGAGATGTGAAGGAAAGCTCAGAAAAAGCTAGTAGGTGGATTATTTTCTCACTTTCCATACAGTATGTTTAAATGTTTTAATGGATGGTCTCAAAGAGTGCCATCACTCATCAGCACATGTGAGAGTCTTGAAGCAGAAACTGATGATACAACACTTTTCAGACTGTGCAGGCCTGTGTAGAAACCCTATATTAACAACCATGAAGGTCAGTCAACAATCATGAATATTTAGTTTTAAGTCAAAGCATTTAAACTTTATTCACTTCTGGACCATACATTCTGCTCCTTTCCCTCCACTACAGCACAATAATCTTCCAGCTGGGACTGAGCTTCCTGTGATTTCTCCACTGACTCCTGAGGTGTATCCACCAAGCTCACTTTGTTAGGACAGTGTCTAAAAACAGTTAGTAGTAAGCTAAGCATGCAGGTCTAGACATAACTATCATCAACAGTGCTTTCTTAGCATTGAAACCAATCACTGCAGGAAATACCTCGCCAGTTTGAACAACTGTAAGATGCTCGCTGATGCACATGTGGTAGACTCTGCAGTGCCTATTTGGACTGCTCCCTCTTTCTGGGATTACTCAAGAAAATCGTGTTCAAATTCAATAGCTGTAAAACATCAGAACGGGCAGGGTGTTTGTCTCATGGTTATCCTTTTTTAACATAATATAGCATATGATCCAAAAGCAAATCGAAATAATGAGTTCAAAGTGTAAAACGTTAGAAACAATCAAACAAATTACAAGTAGTTTGGCTGTTGCGGACTATGAAACTCCCTGAGGCTGAAAAGCTCATGATGCCTATTTACTGACACATATTAACAATTCATTTGATTTCTCTTGAAGTTAGGTCTGATAGAAATTGTTTGTTTTTAAAAAGCAGATGACACCAAAACATTTTTAATTTAAATTTAATTCAATTTCTAATTCAGCACCATTTAGGAGGACTCAAGAGAGTAAGATATGGCCCCTGGTATTTTACCACAATGTTCTCTTGGCTGTTCAGTACTACTTAATATGTTCTGGTCTCAAAGTCTCCTAGGGAATGTTACCGTATTTGTACAATACCAAATTGTGTGAATGTTAAAAACATTTAAAAAGGAAATAACATCAACAGAATTTTCTGTGTAGCGAAAAAAGTAGGCCCTCACCGATTTTCAGTTTCAACACAACTGCTGAGTTTGAACATAGTGTAGAAACAGGTATTACCTGGTAAGTGCTGAAAATACGTGTCTGTTACTTGATTCCAGCTATCAGTGTTATTTTACTTTAAACTACATTAACGTAGCCCTGATCGAGCCAAACTCTGTTTAGAAAACAAGCATTTTAAATATTGTTTGCGTGTAGTCTTGTGGACAGACATGACTGAATTCAGACTTTTTACAAATCACCATCATGATGTAGTTATGGAGAGCTTGGAAAGCTATACATTGTTAAGGGAAATTGCAGTGTTTATTACATGTGTCTAACTGTAAACAATCTTGAATAGTGTCATTGCATCGAAGGCGGGATGAGGTGAAATTCTGTCCCCTTTGTTTTTGGAGCATGTGGCCAGGAATTACACATTTCTCCTTTAATACTTTACTTTTACGAATTACATTTTTATTTCAATAAAAAAAAAAACAGGTCCGAAATGCATCAATATTTCATTCTTAAACAGAGCATTGAGATAAGACAAACCGTTTTTCAAGAGAAATCAAAGTGAAATCCAAAATCCTTTCACTTATCAGTAGCAACATTCAGTGTTTTTGATAACTCCACTGTTGTTTTTTCATTTTAATACTTTCCAAAATAAATAGCTTATTCACAAAGTCATCAGAAACAGAACTGATCTCACCCTCTCTCTTTTTATATACAATTATAGATGCCATAGATCTATTTTGAATTTACATAAATTCAATACATTTCCATATTTGTCTCCAAGTGAAACTCTTTGTGTGTCACACGTAAATAAAGACACATGAGCTTTTCTGCTTTTGCATAATGTCAACATTCTCACTCTCTATAACATATATAAGGGTATTTTACCTGCAAAGTTACTTAAGAAAATGCAACACACTCAAATGACATTACTTTATACATCTACTTTAAATCAGCTGGTTTGGAAGAGAATGGCCAATGAAACATCTGGAATATTTATACACTTCAAATCCTGGTGGTTGGTGGGATGATAATATTTTTTCGTACACTACAAAAAACTCCTTGTCAACTCCTTTAGTATCAGATTTAACAAGGTCTGTCAGTGGGTTGAGATAATTCCACCTGTTCTCAGTGTGCAGTTTTGTCTAGAAATGAGAGTCAGTAGCTTAAAGAAAGACAGAATGAAGGCCCATTTACACTCACAGGATCATGTCATGTCACCCTGTGTCAGATTGCTCTAATGAAATCTTCATCAGAGTACACAATATCTATTTTGAGGCATGTCACAGTGTGTGAAGACTGTTTGCTATAGGCTATTATGGATAAAATATAAAAGGAGAGACGTATCATCAACTCCCATCATTTATCTGTTCTGCTCTCATGTTTTCAAACTGCATCAAAAAACAAGCTTTGACCAGACTGATTGTTCAACCTAATTTTAAAATGGCCTTTGCTAAAGATAAACAGACACTAAAATCGCAATATATCACCTTGCTTACAGTATCTCTCTATATATCTAAATATATTGAATTGCAACCAAGACACTAACTTTGTCTATGATCACGTATCTTAACACAGCACAGCTGTTGTCATAGACCTGTATTTAATTTGTTTTTGTCAGGCAACGTCACAACTATGAAATAATGATTGGTCATCCAGTTGTCTGACACACTCCTTTAAAGAGTTTGGATGTGAAGCAGTTTTGTTGTTTGCCAAATGAAAATAGCGTAAAGAGATTTTTATGTTGTTCAGATGTTTCTCTATGGACAAAGGTCTCTACAAAACTAACATGGAAACGCTAATGTGGTCGCAAATCATGTCACAAGAAAATGGTGTAAAATTTAAACTACTCAGTCAGGTTTCAACAGGTTAAATTTAAGATTTTTTAAGACCGTCATGAGCGCAATTTAAGACCTATGTCACGTCCATACTGGACAGTGGACCATACAACTTTATACAAGTTACCTTAACTTTAAATAACTAATAATTTTTTTATCTTAGATTTTTTTAAGACCTATCATAATCATATTTAAGACATTTTAAATATTAAAATTGTTTTTTTCGACGTTTTAAGACTTTTTGGACATCCTGGTCTCAGTCAAGATTTTTATGCAGGCGACTGTCTTTTGGTTGCATCTAACAGTGAGATCTAGGGTGACCATTTTGGATTGATAACTAATAATTTCACAACTTTTCTCTCATGATTGTCAACTTTTGACTGGGACAGCCCAAAATCTCACAGTGTGTTTGAGCCTTAAGGCAGATCACATCACTGCACTTCAATTCAAGGAAATACCACTTGATTGAACAAATTGATTCGTTTAGGAAATAATTGACATGATCCCAAAAATGCTTTTTGATTTGTTTTAAGTACACAATTATAGAATGGGGTGTTCCAGAGTATAAAATAAAAGTGGCTCAGGATAAATTCTATATCATTAGATAAGGGAGACATCTAGACTAGTATCTCTGAGAGTATTTAAAGATAAAGACTCTCCCTAGTTTGCAAGTGTCCATTACTGCTCCAAATCCCCAAATCTCCTCTCAGCTCAAAGAGAGACTGTGGAACTGGGGCAGTGATGGAAAAGCTAGACGTGAATCTTCAACCATCAGCATGTTTAATGGTTTGGTAAAATAACCTACATCATGATGAAGAATGCTTACTATATTGCTCAAAGTAAACCAGTGTGGCCTGTTCCCTCCCAAACAGCTGATGTCAAATAGCAAAGCACTGAGATGTAATGACAACAGAAAATACACTAACATTACAACGTTTGCAAATATGTCACCATTTAAAGGAATGCATACAGTAGGACTGGTGTCCAAATCAGGGTTGTTGTTTATTCAGGATATCTTTAATGTCACCTTTAGTTTTCTGATTAAACTATGCAGAACATACAGAGTCAGAAGCTGTGATCATTATTACCAAACCTGGTGAGTGGATTTGACCTAAGTAAACTAAGAGATGTGTAGCTGCTGCTGTGCTTCACACTCAGCATGGCAGAGCTGCTGTGTTGCTGCACAGAGGTCAGACTACAGGATACTTACTGGGGTTTAGCACCTGCTATCAACAGGACCTGGATACACTCCAAGCTACCTGACCGAGCTGCCTTGTGGACTGGAGCCTCACCTACAAAATCCTGAAGACACAGTACAGGTAATAATGAAAGATATTACAAACACAACATTGAATATTTTAACGCGTGAAGCATGGGAGTACTGCAAGTACATGATTGTACATGATGCTAAGTGTACTCTCTCTCTCTCTAGGTATATTGAAAAAAATATTTTTCACTTCCACATTTAGTTTATTTGACCAACAAGGACAGACTCAATCAAAACATTACAATTACAAATAGACTTTGTCCAGGATGTTGTAAGTCAGCTGGTGTGAAAATATAAGTGAATTCAGTTTAATGTAATAATATTGTTATTATGTATAATTATGTAAAAATTTTCAGGTCCATAAAGAAGTTACTTCACTGCATATCACTGCACTATTACTGCCAGTATTACAAAGTTTCGGGTACACATAAATAGCAGTCGACTGACATGGGTTTTTCCGTGGCCTATGCCAATATTTAACAAGCAGAATATTATGCTGATATTAAAACAAAGTAAAGTAATGTATATTTCCATTATTCCATGCATATTGCAATCTAATATATATGGTTATATTAACCACTAACATGGTATTTTAGATA